CCCTCAGCTCTTCAGCTCAAGGCTAGCGCTCTACCATTTGAGCCACAGCGCCACTTCCGGCTTTTTCTGCTTATGTGGTGCTGAGGAATTGAACCCAGGGCCTCAGGCATGCAAGGCAAGCACTCTACCACTGAGCCACCTTCCCAGCCCTCTTTCAGAGATTCTGTGACACACCTTTCTCTTCCCTTGCCTCGGAAACTTTGGGAGATGGTGTTGGGCCCAGCATGCTGGAATGGGCCCACCTTGAAGCCCGCCACCTACCCAGCAAGGCCAGGTTGCTGTGGGTCTGTGAGGCCAGGCAGTGTCCACCAGCACTTGGGCTCAGATGGACAGTCACTAGCCAGCTGTGCTGTGGGGAATAAGCATGTCCTGGGGCCTGCTCTCTGAGCTGCTGCTTGAAGGAGCCCAGCCTGGGATGCTCTTGTGAGTGGTGACTCACCCAGGATGGGGCTGGGACCCTAATGCCACAGAGCTGAGCCTGTGAAGGGCTGCACCCCAGTCTGAGGCCTCGGAACCCCAGTAACCAGGCCTCCCCGAGGAGGCTGGCCCAGCCCACACTCCACCCCGTCCACAGGCTCCTCTGAGCCAGTGCAGACCCATGCCTGGACCTTTCTGGAAGATACAGGACAGCCTTCTGGCCCATGCCAACTGTCCATGGTAATGTTAACTGACTCACAGGGGTCCTGGGAAGTCCTGCAGGGTGATACGAGGCCCCCCCGCTGGAGAGCCAGGCGGGAAAGGGGTCTTCACAGTTCAGTGCCAGCCTCGCCCACAGGACCTTCCTCTGCACCTCACTGAAGGCCGCTCCTAAGGCCCCAGGGCCCACTGTCACATGGGTGGTGTGGTCCTGATGGCCAGCCTTGGCTCTGCAGGTACCTAGTGACCTACAGCCTGGTAAGGTGTCTTATCTCCCCGAATCCCAGGGTCCACAGGCCCCTGCTCGGAAAGAGCAGCAACAGGAGGGCAGGGCTTGTCGGGAGCTTGTGGAGCAGCTGCTGCGGGCAGACCTGGTGGTGATTTATCAGAGGCACTGTCCCCACAGCCCCGTGGTGCTCACAGCAGCCTCAGCTCAGTTTGCCTATGTCTGACCCTGCCTGGGGCCCCGGAAGCCTGCGAATTCACCAGGACAAGTCACCAGTGCAGTGTCCATACTGCCAACCGGCCAGCCGTTGACCTGCAGTTTTTTTTTTTTTTTGGTCGGCCGTGGGGCTTGAACTCTGGGCCTGAGCACTGTCCCTCAGCTCTTCAGCTCAAGGTGAGCGCTCTACCACTTGAGCTATAGCGCCACTTCTGGTTTTCTGGTGGTTTATTGGAGATAGGAGTCTCATGGTCTCTCCTGCCCGGGCTGGCTTTGAACCTCGATCCTCAGATCTCAGCCTCCTGAGTAGCTAGGATTACAGGCGTGAGCCACCAGCATCTGGCCTGCAGAGTTCTTTCCTGGGGACCCTGGGGAAGGGTGGGGGTTCCAACTCAGGACCCACCAAAGTGGGAGGCGGCCTCTGTATGCACAGCAGGTCTGGCTCCTCTGGTCTCTCATCACACGAAATTCTCCCTATTTAACCACAAATGTCTACACCCCCAGAGAGCTGAAGATGTTCTGAAGTGCAGTCTTCCATGGTGGCTGCAGAACGCATCTTCCTCGGCTCTCTCTCACCTTTCTTTGGCATGTTTGGGGCTGGCTCTGGCCCACCAGGGCCTGTGTGTGTGCATTTGCACATGTGCACATGTGTGTACATGTGGACTTCCTGTGCCTGCAGGGATGAGGCTAGGCTGCCACCAGTCCCAAGATCTGAATTCCTGACAGACTTGAGCAGCCAGATGGAAGGCAGGTATGAAGACCGAGCTGAGCAGTTGAGACCATAGCGCAGGAGGCCACCATTTAACAGCTTCCACACAAAAAGGAAACAGCCAATCAAAAATAGCTTAACCAAAGCCGTAAGGCCCTCTCCTGACCGCGCCTGCCACGCTGCCTCTTTTGCTATTCGGTTGCCCACTGGCTCTTATACCAGCAGCCTAACAAGTGCTTTTTTCTCCTGTCCTCTTGGTAAAGTCTTTCACGAGCCCTATATCAAATATCCGTAATACCTCTTACACTAATTCTAGCTTCTCTGGCCTTAAAAAAACTCCAGAAATGAGATTCAAAAGTCAAGTGTCAGCTGGGTGCCAATGGCTTCTGCCTGTGACCCCAGCGACTCAGGAGGCTGAGATCTGAGGGTCACAACTTGAAACCAGATCAAGCAGGCAGTCTGTGAGACACATACCTCCAATTAACCACCAAAAAGCCACAGTGTAGCTGTGGCTCAAGGGCAGCAGAGCACTACCTTGAGTGAAAAGAGCACAGCTCTGAGTCAAGCCCACGACCTGCACACACACACATCAAGTGCCAGCTCTGAATTCCAGATCCCAGTAGAAAGCAACCCGATAGGCCCCTGGCTGTATGTGATGTCCATCAACCACTCTTGGCGGCTTTGTTTTGGTTCCTGTAGTGGCTAGGAGAACTCCATGGGCTGGTGACCCCCATCCTCCCCACTCCCCCCAGCCAGGCTTAGCATGTCTGCGGGGATACCAGCATCTACCAGGACCCTGAGGGAGGTCTGCTGCTCCCTGCTCATGAGGACAGACTGCTCTCTGTCTTCCTCTATAGCTCAACACTGGGACAGCCTGAAAGACTCAAGAAAAAAAGTCACAACGATGTTAGGCAGGGGTTGGGGATTTAGCTCAGTGAGGAGCACTTACCTGGCAAGTGCAAGGCCCTGAGCTCTATCCTCAGCTCTGGGGGAAAAAGAGTTAGGCCCTTTGCTTACTCAGAAACGTGTTAAGCATTCACAGTTCTATGACAGGAAACAGTTTGGATAATCTGCAGGCCAGCAAGGCCACGTGCCCGGAAACCTGGGAGCCTCAGCAGGTCCAAGAAGAGGTATGGTGGTAGCGGTCAGGGTCTTCTGAGAGCCTCCTGGGGAGGGCTGGCCTAGCAGATGCTGTCTTAGAGCACCCTTCAGTGTGCCCGCCCGCCAGGGCTGAAACAGGACCCGACCCGCTAGAGGGAGGAGCCGTCTCTCGGGGGCGCTGCACTCTTGTGCATGAAAGCCCGGCAGCTCTGGCCCTGCCAGGGAGGCCCACGCTGCTTCAACAGGCCATCTTGAAACAAGAATCAGGTTGAAACTCTGGAAACAGCCCAAATAAAGATGTCATTCAAAAGCCTTGCTAGCCAAATGCCAGGCTGTATATAATCCTATCTACTCAGGAGGCTGAGATTTGACAATCAAAGGTTTAAAGCCAGCCTGGGCATGAAAGTCCATGAGATTCCATCTCCTATTAACCACCAAAGAGCTGGAAATGGAGCTGTGGCTTAAGTGGTGAGTGCTAGCCTTGAGCAAAAAAGCTCAGAGGCAGTACCCAGGCCCTCACACACACAGGCAAACAGCTAATAAAACAGGACAAGTTGAAAACAGGTTGGCATCAGGGGCTGAAGACAAAGCAGAATATGAAGATCAAACAATCCAAGACATGGAAAAAACACTAAGCTAAGAATGGAATTTATAAGAACTCTTAAAGATCAAACTTATGAATCATGAGTGTAGACAAGGAAGAGGAGACACAAACTAAAGGTCCTGAAAAACTATTAAAGTAATAACAGAACTTTCTCCACCTTCAGAGAGAGGATCATGCAGGTGGGGGTTGACAGAACACCAAACAGCTTGCAAGGGCAGCAGAAAAAACCCTCAGACACAGTACAGTTAAAACACTCAGTACACAGATCAAAGATCCTGAGAGGAGTAGGCAAGTTACATACAGCAGGGTGCATGTTGGAACAACAAGGAAGTCATGGAAGGACACAATCCAAATTTTGAACCAAGATCGGTGTACCCAGTGAAGCTGTCCTTCCTAATTGAAGGAGAAATAAAATCCTTCCACAGTCAGCTAAAGGTAAAGCTAGGTGCTGACAGCTCACCCCTGTAATCCTGGCTACTCAGGAGGCTGAGATCTGAGGAACACGGTTCAAAGCCAGCCCGGGCAGGAAAGCCTGTGAGACTCATCCCCAATTAAGCACCAAAGAAGCAGGAAGTGGGGAGCTGTGGCTTAAGTATGAAAGTGTTAATTTTGAGAGAGAGAAAAGCTCAGGTACAGTGCCCAGGTCCCGGCAGCCTACCCCAAAAATTGTGCCAGTTAATTGCAGATGTGAATTTCTGCCAACAAATCCCGGCAGTAGGTTGTTGGGCAGGAAGGAATGCCGAGGTAGCTCCCTGAGTGGTCACGGAATTCTCCTCCCAGAAGCTCCTTCCCCAGCTCCCACTGACAAGGAGACAGCAGCTCCCACAGAAGGCCACAGAGCACCGTCAGTGGAGTCTAGGAAAGGGTCTCTCGTAGGTCCTCATTTCTGCCATGACTGAAGGGAGCTGTCTAGGCTTTCTGGGTGGGAAGCTAGGCCTGGACTCCGGGGGCGGGAGGTCCCCAGGGATGATACCCACTCTGCATGTCTGGTGGGATGCGCTGCAGGGACGCGGGCTAGAGCAATTTCTCATGCTGACAGCTAGCCTCAGAACTGCACTACATGGAGAGAGGTGGACAAGCAGAAGTCGGAGGAGCGGACCTGCCAGGACCAGGCCTTCCGAGGGAACATGGAGACAGCCCCATTTCTGCATGTTGGCTCACCAGGCCTGCCCAGCCCGTCAGTGCACATTTCCTACGCAGACCGAGTCACAGGGTCTCTCCACGCTTGGGGCTGACAAGTTCACTTTTCACCCTTGAGAACTTGGTAACTTAGTCTGGTTTTCAGAGCTTGACGTGCACTGGCTGTGCTTGGAATCTGAGGCTGTATTTTAGATTACCTGAAGGCTTTTTTGTTTTTTTCGATAAGTCCTGGAGCCTAAACTCTGGGCCTGGGCGCTGTCCCTCAGCTCTTCAGCTCAAGGCTAGTGCTCTACCACTTGAGCCACAGCGCCACTTCCAGCATTTTCTGCTTATGTGGTGCTGAGGAATCAAACCCAGGGCCTCATGCATGCAAGGCAAGCACTCTACCACTGAGCCCCCTTCCCAGCCCTATCTGAAGGCTCTGAGTGCGGCTTTGCCTCTGTACTAGAAGCGAAGGGTGAACCCCAGCTGCCCACGGCCAGACTCAAAGACCAGAAAGAGTAAGTTATGAGGTAAGGTCTCCCGCGGACCCCGAGGCCCTGCCTTTACCCAGGCTGAGCTGCTTTCTCCTAGCCATGCTATCTTTCTCTCCACCTAGCCCAGCTTCCAGACTTGCGGCTCTGCATTGACCCCACACCACCACAGGGGAGGCTTCTGTGGGCTTCTGCCGCTGTCCTCCTCTCAGCGGGCTGCCTTCCACACACTTCTGGCTCTGTGGCCGGCAGGACGTGCTGGCTGGTAAGCTTGTGAGGAACGTGAAGGCGTCTCTCCTGGTGCCGGTGGGCCAGGACTCAGTCAAAGCAACTACACTGGGCCAGCTGTACTCCTCTACTGGACACCAGGACTTTATAACTCTCCCCGAAGGAGGGCCTCTCAAGCGAGGTGGGCCATCCCCCAACCCATTCCTTACAGTGCGTCCCAGTCTTTTCTGGAGCCAGCAGGTCCCTCCTTGCTGCTTAGAGTCCCAGATGCTGCTTCACAGACAAGGGTGGCAAAGGGCACCAGGGAGCCATACTGGAAGCCAGAGGAAGATCCCTGTGGATGCAGATTCCTGCACAAGGCCCTGTCTCCCCGCTGTCTGCTCAGACACTGGTCCTCTCCTCTTATGGATTTAGGGGTGTTCATTTTTTTTCTTGGAGCTTTTGAACCCTCGAGATGCACCCTGGCCAAAACAGATGGTAGAGGGCACTCTGGAATAAAGAGCACATTATATGGTTTTTTCTTGGACAAAGCAACCAACCCACAACAGCACCTTGTCATGTTTCCTTTGTGTCTTGGAATGCTGTCCATTTCTTTTCCCTTTGTGAAACACAGAAGAAGTGGGGTCTGCTTATGGGGCAGTTCCCACCTCGGACCTCCTTCCCAGGGGCCCCAAGCGCACGACTCGCTTTCTAGGAGAAGCTCGGCCGAAGCCTGACTTCCATCCTCTGAAACTTCATCAGCGTCACGCACGCATGCACGTGGCAAGCCCGAGACTTCCGCCAGGGACCCACACACCCATCTTCCTGCCAATCTGCGTTCTTTGGCAACTTTTCCTGCTTGTTAACATTTTTCCCAAAGTTACACTTGAGAACAACTTTAACTCCACCCTAGGACACTGTGGCCAGGTAGAGACTGAAGTGGGCACAGAAGGCCCTTCCCGCGCTGCAGGCATGGCCTCAGGTCCAAAGCACAGGTGAAAGGAACCACAGGACCAGCTGCCAACTCCAGGGAGGCCGGTGTTCAAGCCAGTGCTTCCCTCCCTCATGGAGAATGTGGACATGAGTTAGAGCACAGACTGAGGAGACATCCACACTGACCTCTGACTGTAGGTTCTTCTACAGGGGCCCAGTGCAGAGGGTTCGGAGCTGAGTTCCATGGCGTCATCTGAACAGACTTCCATAGGATCCCCAGGGTGGGGGCCTCCGGCTGACAGGCCTGGGCTGTGAGGGCAGAGGAGTGAGCATCAGCTCCATATAATTTCTGTAGTCCCAGATTCCTTCAGAGAAGTTTTTTTGTTGGTCATGGGGCTTGAACTCTAGGCCAGGGCACTGTCCCTCAGCCCTTCAGCTCAAGGTGAGTGCTCTACCATTTGAACCACAGCACCACTTCTGGCCTTTTCTGCTTTCGTGGTGCTGAGGAATTGAACTCAGGGCCTCAGGCATGCAAGGCAAGCACTCTACCACTGAGACACCTTCCCAGTCCATAAAATGGTTTGATTCCTCAGCACTACATAAGCTGGAAATGGTGCTGTAGCTCAAGTGGTAGAGTGCTAGCCTTGAGCTGAAGAGCTGAGGGACAGCGACCAGGCCCAGAGTTCAGGCTCCAGGAATGACCAAAAAAAAAGAATATTACCATTTTTTTGGCCCAAGCTGGCTATTAACTCTGATCTTCCCAATTCCAGCCTCCCAGAAGCTAGGATTGCAAGCGTGCGCCAAAGCGCTCAGCTCTGAAAATGATGTTTCTGAGGTACCATGTGAAAATGCCTATAGGTGGTGTCAAAGCATCTTTTTAGGAAGATACTAAAACTAACTGCAGCTATAAATCAGCCTCCTCCATAATAGCAGAGTTTGATCCAGCTATGAACAAGAAAAGAATCATCTAATACTCAGCTCTTTTTCTTTTCTTTTTGTGCTGGTCCTGGGGCTTGAACTCAGGGCTGGGCACTATCCCTGAGCTTCTTTTGCTCAAGGCCAGCACTCTTATCACTTGAGCCACAGCGCCATTTCTGCCTTTTTCTGTGTGGTACTGGGGAATTAAACTCAGGGCTTTATGCATGCACTCTACCACTAAGCCACATTTCCAGCCAATTATTTTTTTGACTAGGGTTTGAACTCAGGGTCTCATGCTTACTTGGCTAATGTTCTACAAATTAGGCCATGCCTCCTACAGAGCCATTTGCTGGTTATTTTGGAGATAGGTACATACCACCACATGCAGACATTTCTGTTGAGATTTAGTCTCAAAAATATTATGGATGGAACAGAACACACTGTGTGAAAGGAAATGTACTCATTACCTGACTCATATAATTGTAATCCCTTGATATACCACCTTTATAATAACAGTATTTCTTAAATCAAATATTTCATTAAAAAAGAATATTATGGATGGACATTGTGATCAAGGATGGCTTGAACCACCATCCTCCAGAGCTCAGCCTTAGCTCTGCCTCCAGATCTCAGCCTGCAGATCTCAGCCTTAGCTCAGCCTCCAGATCTCAGCCTTAGCTCAACCTTAGCTCAGCTTCCAGATCTCAGCCTTAGCTTAGCCTGCAGATCTCAGCCTTAGCTCAGCCTCCAGATCTCAGCCTTAGCTCAGCCTTAGTTCAGCCTCTAGTGCCCAGCTAGCAATGGAATTTTGAGACAGTTAATGAAGGTTTAAATGAAGGAATCATTTTTTTTTTTTTTTTTTTGGTCTGGTCGTGGGGCCTGAACTCTGGGCCTGGGCACTGTCCCTCAGCTCTTCAGCTCAAGGCTAGCGCTCTACCACTTGAGCCATAGCGTCACTTCCGGCTTTTTTCTTCTTGCTTATGTGGTGCTGAGGAATCGAACCCAGGGCCTGAGGCATGCAAGACAAGTGCTCTACCACTCAGCCACCTTCCCAGCCCTGAAGGAATCATTTTTAAAGGAGGCAAAGATTGTTAGGGAGATAGGAACCAGTGGGAGGAGTATGGGCAAACAGGGAAGATGAAAGGGTGAGTTTGGTTAGTTTGCATGTATGTCATCCTTGCGCAGGAGCCATGCTAATCATCTCTGTATGGTTCCAATTTTAGTATATGTGCTGCTGAAGCAAACACTAGTTTGCATGTATGATAATAGAAATGTAATTAAGTCTTCCTTCTCTTGTATAGTTAATTTATCCTAACTTAATTTTAAAAAGAGGCAAAGAAATTTCTGGAGTTCTCTCTCCATGGTGCACCCTTAGCAGTTATGCCAGTGAAAGCTTTGTTCCCTAGTTCCTGAAAACAGACAGATGTCTGGGAGAGGCTCATGCTACTGAGAGGCTGAGATTTGGAGATGGAGGTCTCAGGCCACAGGGCAAAAAGCACATGAGATTCTACCTTGCAGAGAAAGCTTGGCTTGGTGGGCACGTGTGTCATCCAAGCTACAAGAGTAGCTCCCTGGGCTGGGAAGGTGGCTCAGTGGTAGAGCACTTGCCTTGCATGCATGAGGCCCTGGGTTCGATTCCTTAGTACCACATAAGCAAAAAGAAAAAAGCCAGAAATGGCGCTGTGGCTCAAGTGGTAGAGTGCTAGCCTTGAGGTGATGAGCTGAGAGACAGCGCCCAGGCCCAGAGTTCAGGCCCCATGACTAGACCCAAAAAAAAAAAAAAAAAAAAAGAGTAGTTCAGGGAGAAAGTGAGCCCTGCTTCAAAAACAGTCAGTACAAAAGAGGCTGGAGGCATGGCTGAGCAGCAAAGTGCCTTCCTGACAAGGGCAAGGCCCTAAGTTCAAACCCAGTGCTGCCTAAAAAACAGCAACCAACAGTAGGCAAACAGGAAAGAAGAAAAGCCAGAGTCCTCTGGGAGAAGAGAAAGGGGGAACTCAGCCTGGGACAAATCCCCCGTGGTAGCTTGAGAAAGCTGAGTCCTAGCCACTGTGACCAGCTGGGGACACAGGGGAAAATAGGGCCACCCTCCTTGGCCCCCTTTTTCTTCCCTCCTATGTTGTCCGTTCTGAGGGAAAGGACACACACACTGTGTGTATAGCTTCTGTGGGTACTAAACCCCTGTTCCCAGTGACTTGGTACCCTGCACCAGTACCTGTCAGCACAACAATGCCATATTACCAGGTTACCATGGCCGGCCCCTTACCTGCCCTCCACTTATTACCAGGTCACTACAGCCGGGCCCTTACCTACCCTCGACTTATTACCCGGTCACCATGGCCGGCCCTTTACCTACTCTCTGGTTATTACCAGGTCACCACGGCCGGGCCCTTACCTACCCTCTGGTTATTACCAGGTCACCACGGCCGGGCCCTTACCTACCCTCTGGTTATTACCAGGTCACCACGGCCGGGCCCTTACCTACCCTCTGGTTATTACCAGGTCACCACGGCCGGGCCCTTACCTACCCTCTGGTTATTACCAGGTCACCACGGCCGGGCCCTTACCTACCCTCTACTTATTGCCAGGTCACCACGGCCGGGCCCTTACCTACCCGCTGCTTTTCCTGGGCTTGTCAAATCGGAAGTCCGCAGGGTACAGGTGGAGCCTCACCATGTGGTCCTTCCGGTCTTGGCTGGTCTTGAACTTCTCCGGGCAGCCTTCGACCAAGCACTGGTACTACAGAGGACAGGCGTGCGTCACGGCACCCCGGCCCACCCGCGCCCGGTGCCGGGCGGCGCGGCCCTCACGCACCATGGCCTGCCTCTCCGCCAGGATCTGGAAGAGCGGGTCGTGCCACTCCAGCAGGTGCGCCTCCAGCAGGTGCGCCGAGGGGAGGGCGCGGCGGCAGCGGGAGCAGACGTTGCGGTGCAGCATCTGGTAGTGGTGCTGGTAGTCCTCCAGGGCCGCGAACACGCGGCCGCAGCCCGCCGCCTGGCAGGTGAACTCGGGCACCCTAGGAGAGAAGGCGCTCCGGGCAGGGGCGGCCCGGACCGCGGCTCCAGCTCCCTTCCCTGCAGGTTTTCGGCGCCGCCCGCCCGGGCTGTGGGCCCGAGCGCAGGCCTCCGCCCCGGCCTCCCGACAGCCGGCCTCAGAATCCGCCCTCGGCGGACCCGACGGAGGAGCGACCGGTGAGTCAACCCTGGGTCAGGAGAGGGCCTGGCCGCTCACCTGGACTTCTCTGGCGGCGCTGCCACCTGTGTGAGTACGTCCTGCAGGTAGAGGTGTCGCTGCACGTCGCCTTCCTGCAGAGAGAGTGCACCGGATGGGCCGCCCGGGGCAGGCCCCGCCCCCGCGCAGGCCCCGCCACGGCGCCAGTGGCCACACAGGGCCGGGCCCCGCCCACCTGCACAGACCCCGCCTCCCGCCGCCAGCGGCTGCCTGGCCCCGCCCCCGGGCGTAGGCCCCGCCCCTGCCTCTGGCGGCCGCCCGGTGCCCGGCCCCGCCTCCGGACGCAGGCCCCACCGCCCGCCGCCAGCGGCTGCCTGGCCCCGCCCCCGGGCGTCGGCCCCGCCCCCGCCGCCAGCGGCCGCCCGGCATAGGCCCCGCCCCGCCCGCCTGCGCAGGCTCCTCCCGCACACACCTCGAAGAACTCGTGGTCCCGCGGGAAGCGCACCGGGCGCGCCGCGAAGCGGAAGGGCGCCTTCCCGGCTGCCGGGTCCCTCTCCACGGGCAGCGGTTCGGAAGCTCCCGGCGCCCCGGCCAGGCGGGCGCTCAGCGCCGGGGGGCAGCAGCATCGCCCTGAGCGCCGGCGCCGCAGTCGGCCTCCGTCGGCCACCGTCGGGGGCGGGGCCGGACGTGACGCACACTTCCTGTGGCGGCGGGGCGTGCCGCCGGCGGTAAGTCGGGGCTGGCTGGGGGCCGGGCCCGTTTTCCGGCCGCCCCGAGGCCCCGCGCCCCGCGGGCGCTCGAGGCGGGGTCGGAGGCACTGCCCGGCCTCCCAGGGCCGCGTCCAGGGCGGCGGGGCGGGGCGGGGCGGGCGGCGGGGCGGGCGGCGGGGCGGCGGGGCGGGGCGGAGGGGCGGGGCGGACGCCCGTGGGCGGGGCGGGGGGCGGCGGGGGGCGGCGGGGCGGGGCGGGGGGCGGCGGGGCGGACGCCCGTGGGCGGGGGGCGGGGCGGGGCGGACGCCCGTGTGCGGGGGGCGGCGGGGCGGACGCCCGTGGGCGGGGGGGGGCGGCGGGGCGGGGGGGGCGGCGGGGCGGCGGGGCGGCGGGGCGGGGCGGACGCCCGTGTGCGGGGGGCGGCGGGGCGGGGCGGACGCCCGTGGGCGGGGCGCTCGCCGCGCCTGCCTGAGCCGCCGCGGGAAAGAGAAGCGCTCGCCTGGGGCAGAAGCAGCTCGGGCCAGCGCCCGGCGGGGAGGAGGGAGGAAAGCCCCCCGGGCCCGCTGTAGGGGAGTGAGGGTTTCCGCCGGGTCCGCGGGGCGCCCGCCCGCAGCTCCCCCCCGACCGCCGCCGCCCGCCCGCGGATCCCCCCCGCCCGCCGCCGCCCGCCCGCGGATCCCGCCCGCCCGCCCGGGGCTCCCCCCCCCGCCCGCCCGGGGCTCCCCCCCCCCCGCCCGCCCGCGGATCCCCCCCGCCCGCCCGGGGCTCCCCCCCCCCCGCCCGCCCGGGGCTCCCCCCCCCCCCCCCGCCCGCCCGCGGATCCCCCCGCCCGCGGCTCCCCCCCCCCCCCGCCCGCCCGCGGATCCCCCCGCCCGCGGCTCCCCCCCCCGCCCGCCCGCGGATCCCCCCCGCCCGCGGCTCCCCCCCCCCCCGCCCGCCCGCGGATCCCGCCCCCCCCGCCCGCCCGCGGCTCCCCCCCCCAACCGCCCGCGGCTCCCCCCCCGCCCGCGGCTCCCCCCCCCCCCGCCCGCCCGCGGCTCCCCCCCGCCCGCGGCTCCCCCCCCCCGCCCGCCCGCGGATCCCCCCCCCCGCCCGCCCGCGGCTCCCCCCCCCAACCGCCCGCGGCTCCCCCCGCCCGCGGCTCCCCCCCCCCGCCCGCCCGCGGATCCCCCCCCCCCGCCCGCCCGCGGATCCCCCCCGCCCGCGGCTCCCCCCCCCCCCCGCCCGCCCGCGGATCCCGCCCGCCCGCGGCTCCCCCCCCCCCCCCCGCCCGCCCGCGGATCCCCCCCGCCCGCGGCTCCCCCCCTCCCCGCCCGCCCGCGGATCCCGCCCGCGGCTCCCCCCCTCCCCGCCCGCCCGCGGATCCCGCCCGCGGCTCCCCCCCTCCCCGCCCGCCCGGGGCTCCCCCCCTCCCCGCCCGCCCGGGGCTCCCCCCCACACCAGTGTGCCCTTTGCAGAACACCCCTTCCCACGGAACGGAGCGGTCTCCGCGGGCCGTGGCCTTGGGTCACAGCAGCGCCAGTTGGACCCCTGGGAACAGGGTGGCCGCTGTGTGGCCCCGCAGCACAGCACCCTGTGAGATGGGGTTTAGCTCTGTTTAATCTCCCCTCACGGGATCGTCCACATCCCAAAGCTAGCAGGCCAGGCAGCCCACTGGAGTCTTCCTCCCACTCCGCTTGGCCCTGCTCTTGGGACCGTTTATGATGCTGGGCGTTTGAGCCCCAGCTCAGGCTTTCATTCTTGGAGAAACCTGCCTTGACCAAGGTCTAAAAATCTGTTTCCATTACACAAGCTTAGAGTGTAGCTTTCTTCTCAAGACAGAGTTCTAAGTTAATATTAACACACATTTTTTTTTTTTTTTTTGCCAGTCCTGGGGCTTGAACTCAGGGCCTGGGTGCTGCCCTAAGGTGCTTTTGCTCAAGGCTAGTGCTTTATCACCTGAACCAGGGTGCCCCTTCTGGCTTTTTCTTTTTATGGGTACTGAGGAGTCAAACCCAGGGCTTCATCCATGCTAGGCAAGCACTCTACCACTAAGCCACGTTCCCAGCCCAAGGTATTTGGTATGTCTGTAACTTAGCTTACTGGGAGTTTTTGTGCAGTCTCCTGTTCTTGGCAGTGTTTGCCACCTTGTCTCTGCTGAAGGTGTTATCACAGTGGTTCTTAACCTCTTCTGAGACTTTGAGAATTTGTTGTAAGACCAGCTGCTCAGAACATTCACATAGATAAATGCCTGACCTCTTGGGATTCCCAAATTAAGAACCTTTGCATACAGCTTCTTCAGGCTCATCTTGAAATCTAAAGCACATTCTCCAATATGTTTGTTAGAGTGCCCTTTATTAGCTCTCCTGATGCTAATGGCTAACTGCGCAGTTAGCAGTGAGAGAGCGGGACTCTGCAGCAGCTGCCGCCCATCAAGGCAGTGGTATAGCAGTCTCCATGTGGTCAGCAGCTGCCGTCCACCAGGATGCTGGCATATAAATCCCCAGGCTAACTCCTGTCTTCTGGGACATTAGTTTCCATATGTTTTTGATCCAGTGGTAAGACCCTGATGCAAGGAGTTGCAGAGCAGACTAAGCTGTAATGAAGCTACCTAGTTCCAGTTGCCAAAATCTTACCCGAAGCACTTTGTACAAGAAAATATTCTAGGTTCTTTTTTCTTTTTTTGGGGGGGTCCAGTCGTGGGGCCTGTTCCTGGGTGCTGTCCCTCTGCTCTTCAGCTCAAGTCTAGCGCTCTACCATTTGAGCCACAGCGCCACTTCTTCCTTTTTTCTTTTTGCTTATGTGGTGCTGAGGAATCGAACCCAGGGCCTCATGCATGCAAAGCAAGTGCTCCACCACTGAGCCACCTTCCCAGCCCCAACATTGTAGGTTCTTTTTTTTTTTTTTTTGGTTGGTCGTGGGTACTGAACTCTGGGCCTGGGCACTGTCCCTCAGATCTTCAGCTGAAAGCTAGCGCTCTACCACTTGAGAGTCAGCCCCACTTCCAGCTTTTTCTGCTTATGTGGTGCTGAGGAATCAAACCCAGGGCCTCATGCATGCAGGGCAAGCACTCTACCACTGAGCCACCTTCCCAGCCCCCATTCTAGGTTCTTTAATGCAAAAAGCACACAGTTGGAGGTGTGAATGGAACTTCCCCTGAGCAACTTGGCGTTTAAGGATTAGGCTTTGCTCACAAGTGGGAACTGGTTTATATCTGTGAAGGGCAGTCACCTTGGCCAGTGCACACCTCGTGGAGGTGGTGTACACTCAAAAGGGCAGGGTTATTTTGCCAGCTGGGGCCAAGAAGTCTTGTCAGTCAGCCCAGAGGAGCCACAGTGCTGCCCTCTGGTGGCCCTGGGCCGTGTGGGGGTGGAGTCGCCCAGGAAGGGAGAGCTGGTTTATGGGCCCATGTGACAGCCTGGGCCAGGCTGGTGCAGCTTCCTGAGTAGTGGAGTGGACTGGAGGCAGGAGCCATTACTGTGGGTACCAGAGGGGCAGGACATGTGAACACCGTGAGAGTCCCAAGGGAGACAGAGGGGGCAGAGCAGGTGGCTCTGTGAAGGTAGCCTGGGCCAGGTCATGGAATTGTCAAGGCCTGAAATGGGTCACATTCGTCTATTGAAAGAATTTTTTGGCAGCTTACACATCTAAATTCTAGCTACCCAGAAGGCTGAGAGGCTCACAGTTTGAAATTAGCCAGGGCAGAACAGTCTGTGGGACTCCATCACTAGTTGACTAGCAAAAACAACTGGCACTGTGGAGGCCGAGATCTGAGGATCGTGGTTTGAAGCCAGCCCAGGCAGAAAACTCCGAGAGACTCCAATAAACTACTCAAAAAAAAGCTGGAAATGGGCCTGTGGCTCAAGTGGTAGAGCGCTTTCCTAGAACAAAAAGTTCTGGGACAGTGCCCAGGCCCAGAGTTCAAGCTCCAGAACCAGCACAACAAAAACAAAAAAGCAGCTGGCAGTGTGACTGAAGTAATAGAGCACCAGCTGTGTGGGAGAAAATGGAGCAAGAACTTGACGCTTGAGTTTAAGCCCCGGTGCTGGCACAGCACAACAACAACAACAAAAATTTTTGTAGATTTTTAGACTTTTTTTTTTAAAATTAAGAACAGCTTTCTTGGGCTGGGAAGGTGGCTCAGGGAAGGTGGCTCAGTGGTAGAGTGCTTGCCTTGCATACATGAGGCCCTGGGTTCGATTCCATAGTACCACATAAACAGAAAAAGCTGGAAGTAGTGCTGTGGCTCACGTGGTAGAGCGCTAGCCTTGAGCTGAAGAGCTGAGAGACAGCGCCCAGGCCCAGGGTTCAGGCCCCACAACCAACAAAAAAAAAAAGAGAACAGCTTTCTTTAGGAGGTGAGGAAATAATGCCATGTTGGTGTCTCACAGTTAAAGCCATGAGCGAATTTCGGATCCACCATGATGTCAACGAGCTGCTCAGCTTGCTGCGCATCCATGGAGGAGATGGGGCCGAGGTCTACATTGACCTGCTGCAGAAGAACCGGACCCCGTATGTCACAACCACTGTTTCTGCTCACAGTGCCAAGGTGGGTACCATCCTTGGATCAGGGACTGGGGGGGCCCATGTTGGTGGGCCCGTCAACAGTGCTGGTGATGAAAACCAGTAGCATTGCTGGTTTCTTCTGGCTCTTAGAGGCAGCTCCAGCCACTCAGCCCTTTGTACCTGTTAGTCACTGCAGGCCTGGGAAGGTCTGGCTTTGAGCCTTGACTTTATGCTTTCCCTCTATTTAAATATGAAAAAAATGGACATTTTCAGATCTTTAAAAAAAGATAGCTGTGAGTTTGAAATCCACTCTGAAAATAAACATTTCCAATCTATTTAAATGGCATGATGATGGCTTCAGGACAGCTAGAAAAGATGACTGAGCAGAGTGAAATTCAGAGCACACCCTCATTTAGTTTATCATCAGAGCTTTTTCTGGTGGGGGGGTGTCAGTCGTGGGACCTAAACTTTGGTCCTGGGCGCTGTCCCTCAGCTCTTCAGCTCAAGGTTAGCTCCCTGCCACTTGAGTCACAGCACCACTTCCAGCTTTCTCTGCTTATATGGTGCTGAGGAATTGAACCCAGGGCCTCATGCATGTGACCAGGGCCTCATGCATGTGAGGCAAGCACTCTACCACTGAGCCACCTTCCTAGCCCCTCATCAGGGCTATTATAAGTCCCTGAGTGGAACATCGCCCTAATCTGCAACATACAGTAACTACCAGAAGGATTAGGATTCAGGGTGTGAAGTATTAGAGTTGTAAGTGTTAGTATCTACTTCTGGGCCTACAAAGCATAAAATGAGAGAAACTAGAGGAAATATGGTGGATTTGAAGGAGCATGTATTTTTTCCAGAAGTTTGTATTTTAGCTCCATCATATAGTTGTAATTTTGGGTTTTCTGTTTAATTTTCTTGAGCTTTTTTCCTAAGTGCTTGCTAGTTATTGTCATTAAGTCATTTGTGTTTGTCCTTTTGAGGTTAAAATTGCAGAATTTTCTCGAACTCCTGAGGACTTTCTCAAGAAATATGATGAGCTGAAGTCTAAAAATACAAGGAATCTGGACCCGCTTGTGTACCTCTTGTCAAAGCTCACGGAAGACAAGGAGGTAAGCCTCCCGCGCCAGGCTTGGCACTGCGCCCTCTGCAGTCCCAGGGGGTTGTGCGTGGGTGTCTCCTCTTGGAGCCCTGGGGGTTGTGTGGAACACCTCACACACTGCACCCACTCACTGCCTGCACGCCCCTCAGGTGTTTTACCACCAGTCACACTCCTATCCCATAGGTATGTTTTTCTTTTTTATTTATTTAGTTTTTAATTTTATTATAAAGGGGATATACGAAAGGGTTACAGTTACGTAAGTCAGGTGCCAAATACGTTTCTTTTTGAGCAAGGTCACCTCTTCCTTGCTCTCCCCCAGTTTTTCCTTCACATCCCCACCCACAAGTTGTATAGCTTATATATACATATGTATATGTTTGTGCTTATATATTTGTATATATAAGCTGTAAAGATATATATGCATACATTTATACAGACATATCTATGTATGTATGTATATATACATATATACACACATATAAAAGTCAGGGTCTTGTGTTTTTGTCCAGGCTGTCTTGACTAAGATGGCCCTGTTCTATGCTCTCATAGTTTGATAACAAGCATGTACCACCATGCCTTGCTTTAGGGTCTGCCCAGTCTGATTTTAAACTGTAATCCTCTTGATCTCTAACTCCAAAGTATATGGGAATACAGGTATATGCCATCATACTTGGCCACATAAACTGTTTTAGGGAACACTTCATATCTAAACTACAACAGTTAATAAGAATGAGCACGGGCTGGGAAGGTGGCTCAGTGGTAGAGAGCTTGCCTTGCATGCCTGAGGCCCTGGGTTCGATTCCTCAGCACCACATAAGCAAAAAGAAAAAAGGCAGAAGTGGCACTGTGGCTCAAGTGGTAGAGCGCTAGCCTTGAGCTGAAGAGCTGAGGGACAGTGCCCAGGCCCAGAGTTCAGGCCCCACGACCGGACCCCCAAAAAAAAAAAAAGAATGAGCAGTAGTGACTAGTGGTTCAGATCAGGTATAGCCAGGAGAAACAAAAAATTCAAGGAGTACCTGGGGAGGGGCGCTTTTGCTTTTTACCTGATTCCCTACCCTCTCCACCTCCAAGGTGTCAGTAACTTGCTGAGATTGAGCATGACATGTTAAGTCACCCATCGTGGATGGAGGGGTGTGTCTGGGGCACGTAGGCCACCAGTGCCAGGACAGGTGAGGGAAGTCTTTCAGCCAGGAACCACAGGTATAGTAGGGGAAGGTTTCTGTACTGGGGGCAGAGTTAGGACTGACTCAGGATGTGAAGGGTCCTTTCCTTGGTGCTTTGGAGGCATGGTGGGTGCATGTGAGCTTCTGGAGACTGGGCCACAGCTGAAGGCCAGGGGTGCCTTCTCCCTCCACAAGTGAGTGTGTAGGTGAAGTGTAGGCTAAGGTAGACCAGTATGCAAACACTGACCTAGTTCTAATGTGTAGTTCTGCATGTTTTCAGACACTGCAGTATTTGCAACAGAATGCAAAAGAAAGAGCTGAGCTTGCAGCTTCTGCTGTGGTCAGCAGTGCCACCAGCAGCTTCAGTGTCCCTGCCTTAGCTTCCAAGATGTCCACACAGGAGCTGGAGGAGCTGAGGAAGCAGCTTGGCAGCGTGGCCACTGCGTCCTCGCTGCAGCAGGTACCGTGTCGGGCCCAGCGCGTAGGTGAGGCGTCGAGAGCAGTGCTTAGCACCAACCGGGTGGGCTTCTCTGTTGCTTATTA